ATATGCCATCTTAGAATAGTCGAGCCTGATATAGTTGCATTTTGCATGTGTTGCATTAGGCATTTCTATATAATTAGGATCATGCATGATTTCTAATAAAGTCTCTGTTTTGGCTTGGAGTACTCGGTGAGTTTTATGCTTTAGCATCCTTGCATGCGTGTGAGTGACTGCCATGATAGCATGCTTACCATGAGGCTAATTGCTTGTATGATATAACTGCCTGAATACCTGTGGGTGAAGGTTGGGTTGCTTAAATTGGAATAAATCATCAAATGTTTTAAGCCTACTTGCGAGTAGCAAACCATCTTCCAAAAAAGCAAACATAAAATGTTCTGTTCCAATTCAGGCGACCCGATCTATACTTGTATGCTGCATGCATCACATAGTAACCTAGGCTAATAACCGGAATAAGAACACACAATGTTTTCAAAAATAGATATCATGGTTAGTAGAGGCCGATCTTTGATCGGGCGAGCGGGGGTGCTCACGAACTGCCCTTCCCCAATCATACCCAAGTTCCCGAGCCGAGGCAACTTTGGCGATGACGGACACGTGGCCTTTGGCAACGAGTCAGGGTTTCCTAAATTTCCCCAAAATAAAATATTTAGGTGGCGACTCTGTATCTGGCAAAGCAGTCCATGTTTGGCACTTCTTTCAAAAAAATCTGTTTTTTCAAAAACGATTTGCCGGATTTGGACTCTTTGGTTCAGACTTAGAACCGTGACTACAAATCGAGTCCGAGCTATAGCGAGGTCCCCCGCGGGCTTGTTACAGTGTTATGCCCCGCACTGAGAATCAAAGGTATCATACCCTTCAAGCTAGCGACTGGAGAACTGACCACGCTGAGAATCAAAGGTGTCATACCCTTCCAGTTAGCACCTGGAGAACTGACTGTGCTAATAATCGAGGGTACCATACCCCTCTAGCTAGCACCTGGTAAACTGGCTTGTTGTTAATGTTGTTGAGTGGGGTGTATTGTTGGCTTACTACGCACATAGCTAGTAGAGTGAAATGGAATTGTTGTTGTTTCGTTGTAATTGAAAATATCATGGATTTGATTGGTTACAGTTCGGAGGACCGAGTTACTCCATTGGTTGATTGTATACATGTTGGTGGGTTGTAAATTTATATTTTTTTACACAGATATGCATGTATAGTTATGATAGTAATGGAAACGAACCAAAATGTCATTTTTGTCTTTTGGAAAGTGTGGAGGAGAACGAATGTTTTTAAGATAAACATGTTTGAAAAGGTACATCTGACTATGTATAGGAAATGGAAGAGGGTATCGGGCTTCGTGAGATTACTTCCTAAGTATTTGTTAATGTTATGAAAGATTGGGAATGGAGGTTAATGAAAGGAAAAAGGAAAGACAAACCACTCGTAGCGTTGAATGAAACGGTTGTTTTCGAGAAAAGTTCATACCTATATAATTTTGTATAAACTGTCACATTACTATTCTAGTATGAGAATGAGTGTTCATGATCATAGCTATCTGTAAGTTGTTATTGTTGAGGATCATGTTGAGTTCCCTACTGGACTATATGTTCATCCCACGTTGTTGAAACCTTTTTCAGGTGTTGAGCTGAATGTGCTGCAAGATTTGGATCTATTTATTTACTGGCCACGGGGCCTCAGTTATGTTGGCGGAATGCCATTGTTGTAAAAGGGTTACACCCTTCTTCTTGTACCTTAAGTGATGTAAGCCCAAGGGCAATTTATTATGTATGTTCATGTAATATTTACTTTGCATACGAATGAGAGTATTGTTAATCACTTCTACGGATTGAATGTATGAGTTTATTTCCGCATGTTATCCTTGAAATTTAATTAAGTTAATGAATTTGGTAATGACTTCGAGTAATAAAAAAAGTGGGGCGTGACACAATAAGACGGGTGCCATTACATAGACCTTGAGATTGATTGAGATTTCTCAGTAGCACTATAGGTGCTCCCTTTTTGAGTTCAAGGCAATGACTTGGAATTCCTGGAAAATTTAATGAGTGCAATAACTCTGGTGGATGCATGCCTTCGTCAATGTTCTCATCCTCAGCTGGACATATCGTATCTGCACTTAGGTATTTTCGAGATTCTCCAGGCAACATTGATAGCATTATGACATTTAATTCATCAACATCAGCATTTTTTGGTGCTAAGATGCCACGTTCTTTCAAGTAAGAACTGTCACTGTATCCAGTACTTAATTCTGGATAGATTGCATGGATCAAATCATATAGAGCATGTGATCCATTTCTAATCAAGAACTGTTCTGGAATTTCAATCCAATTAGTCTCCCCGCCTTCAGTGAAAGAAATTCCAGGTATTTTTCCATCACCAATCATCAATATCCAGTTAGCAAAATCCCTGAGTTATTGACTGCTCTTGATCAAGCAAATATTGCAAAACCAGAGGAATTTCTTCCTCGTCGTTTTCATCAAAATTTTGAAAATCCTGATTGATGCAATAAATTAAGGGCACAGAAAAGTATTCAAAGGCCACAGTCGCACAATTCTCATTAAGTACTTCCAAGTCGCCTGGTTCCTCTGTTACAATAAACTCAAAGGAAAAATAAAAATACGACCTAGACAGGACTGTGGCATCTGGGTTATCACCCCCAGGAATACCGGACTCTGACTCAGTCGAGCTGGAACCTGATTTCGACGCACAAGATTCGGTGGAATCAGATTCCACAGGACTCGGTAGAATCAGATTCCGGCTCACTACCTGACCTGGTGCTGTTGGACAAAAATCCTTCTTCATATTTCCAGATGAGAGAAGGTGCGATGGACGCATCCAAAATAGCTGATGGTAGGCCCGCAGCCGCTTCATTCCCAATCATGCATACCGAGGAGTTGTCCCCCAAGCACTTCTGTTCGATCGGAGGATCTGAAAGTAGACATGCCAGTGCTACCCCCATTTCATTCTCAGCGTCCTCAGACTGCACTTCCTCACTTTGCTCAGCCTCGGCTGATGAGTGTGTCTGCTCTTCGGCAATGTCATTCTCAGGTAGCTGGAGGTCAAAGAAAATCTCAAACCCCGGTACGCGCTTCCTCTCCGCGTTCAACCACGGCTCTGGAAAGCCACAGAACGGAAAGTCCTCTCCCTCCCGGACGAAGCGTCCGTTCAGGGTACCATAAATGGGCCGGTGCATTAAGTCAAAGGGCTTCCCCATCTGTTTCGCTCTGTCCCTTCCGGCCATTTCTTTTCCTTTTCTTATCCAGTCCTCTTTAGTGGGTAGGTAACCCAATCCAAAGGTATGAGGGTTGTGTGGCACTTCGGCCAATGCTGCGACGCCCTTCCGGC